CCTCATTCCCGGAGATGAAATGGTGTACTTGAGTTCTGATTCATCATGCCAAGCAGATTCAAATGTATGTGTTGATGGCGACTGGATAACAGTTGAGTTTTGAATGAAATCAAATGTTTGGGAATCCCAAACCACAGGATAGTTTTAAAAAAGGGGTACCAATTATGTTACTGAGGAACATTGACCAAATATCTGGATTGTGTAATGGTACAATATTAATTGTTGACGAGATGTGGAAGACTGTTATTGGTGCTATTGTGGTTTCGGGAAATCGAGTGGGCGAAAAAGTTTACATACCCCGGATGAATTTGGTACCGTCTGATCCAGGACTACCTCTAAAGTTTCAGAGAAGACAATTTTGAGTAGTCTTATGTTTTGCTATGACTATTAACAAAAGTCAAGGTCAAACATTGTCATTTGTTGGATTATTTTTAACCAATTCAGTGTTCACTCATGGTCAGCTTTATGTTTTTACAGCCATACAAAAAATGTTGTATACCCTGAAATCTTTCAAAAAATTTGGTATTAAAGCAAACTTTGTTGTGTGTAGATTAAATTCCTCAAATATTATCCTTTTTACTTTGCCTTACTTTTCCGTGTTATTATAAATCATGCATGAGGTATATTTTCTTTATTCCGGGAAAAAATATTGCATTGAATAGATTCAGAATTAACAAGATATTCGTCCAAACCCGTGCATTGCACGGGTAGAAATACTAGTACTAGTATATATGTAAAAGAGAGTTCAAACCTTGTATTGGAGACATGTGTCGTATGACATGGCAAAATTCTTTATCCACATGGCATAGTGTCATCATTTTATTGGTCCAAATGGCATTTATTAGTTTATTTTTTATTTAAAAAATATTCATGATTATTGCATTTAATTACCATAAATTTGTATATACAAAACTTTTTATATTCTAGTTACTATATTAATATGTCTTTCATCAATTAAAAATATATGTTAATATCTTATAATTAATTAATTACTTTTTTAAAGGTTATATAAAATTTATTAAATTTTTTAAAAGACATTTCTTTGTATAAATTTTTACACTATTTTTCTTTTATTCCATTTTAAAAATATGGATATATATGAAATATAGTATATTTCCGTCATTATTAAAATTATAATTTTATTTTAAAACAATTGCATAAGCATTAGTTAAAATTGTATTTCATTTCTTATATATTTATTCATTGTATCTACTATTAAAAGTATCATATTAGTAGTTAAAACATATATGTACATGCACATACCAAAGTTATAATATCTATTGTTATATTTAATGGCTAATGCTTTTGCATAAACCTTTTCATTTTTTAGTATTATATATATATTCATTTGACGAGTTTAAAATTCAAAAAACATTTAAGCTTTCAAACTATTCACCATTTTTTCTTTTTATTACCTTTCAAAAACAATAATTATATATATTTTAGAGCAGGGAAATCATTGTTAAAATAAAAATTTATTTCAAAAAATATTGTATCTAATAGTCTTGCTACTACAAGATATCATATCCAAATTTAAAAAAAAAATTAAAATGCATATCATATTATTATTAGAAAATTAACATAAATAAAAATTAAATTTTAATTCATATTATGTTTATATATTAATTGAACTTTTAACAAACATACAAAATGTTAACATAAAATATCTATGTTAACATATAGATATATTATATAGAAAAATATGCGAGTCCGTGCGAAGCACGGGGTAAAAATTAGTTGTAAAGTATAGGGCACTTATTAGCAATTTTTTGAAATAATTATACTCTCTCCCATATGCTCTATATAATCTTCTTATTTGACTTTTATGTTTTTCAATCCAATATTTTGATCATCAATATCTTTATTTATAGGTGTCTATATATATATATATATATATATATATATATATATATATATATGTTCTGGTGAAAATGCAATCTTATGAAAAAAATAAGAATGAATCTCGTGCTTTAGATTGTGAGATCTAAGGGTCACATATTAGCAATTTTTTGAAATAATTATACTCTCTCCCATATTCCCTATATAATCTTCTTATTTGACTTTTATGTTTTTCAATCCAATATTTTGATCATTGATATCTTTATTTATAGGTGTGTGTGTGTGTGTGTGTGTGTGTGTGTATATATATGTATATATATATATATATATTGGTTCTGGTGAAAATGCAATCTTATGAAAAATATAAGAATGAATCTGGTGCTTTAGATTGTGAGATCTAAGAGTTAGGATTGCATCAAAATTAGGTGCACCAAAATGGTTTGAAAATGCGTCACGTCGAAATGCACCAAAATCCTTTGAAAATGCGCTATCTCAAAATCTGAGCGCAGGATGCAATCTAAGTTATAATCCATTAACTTTACTATTTTTCTCTTTTAATTTTTTTCGTTTGTCCTTTTTTGTCTCAATGTATATTTAGAAACATTTGTGAGACTCACACTCTTATACCTAGAATATTTTTAACATCATAAGTGATGTTTTTAAATTTAATTGGATGTCACCAATCCTTGTCTCGCAAATAATAAGATAAATGGAGCAATATTTTTCATTAATATTAATTGAATTTAACACATATAAGAAATGTAAATTTTATTGATTTTAATTCCTAATGAAATTATGTGAGAATTAATTACGTCCTCCATCCCAATTTTGATTACAATTTTTTTCTCTCCTCTTGATAACTTTTGTTTATTTGTGTGTTTTTATTGAGTATTTGATAAAATAAAATATTCTTGTCACATCTCGTTTTGTAGAAATCTTGACGGAGTTTTTTAATATGTAATTTTATTTCTTATTGATGTACCAAATTGTAAATAAAATAAATTCAAAAGACAAAAGATTTTGTCTCGTAACTCCCAATTTGTAATCAAATTAGGGACGGATGGAGTATAATTTTGAGTAAATACCATAATTGGTCTTTTAAAACGAAGGATTTTCCGTATTAAGTCTTTTATTTTATTAAATATTATATTCGTGGTCCTTTGTTTATGGTACCTTTTCACAGATTATCTTTCTCTGACGCTCTGTCATAATAGTGTTAAATTGAGAGCTAACAATAATAGTTGACAGACAGCACAACAATAGTGTTAGATCTAGACATATATTTTCTTTTGGTTTGACAAACAGCACAACAATAATAGTTGTGGATTATGGGCATGTTTGGAAACAACGTTACCAATTAGCGTTAGCGTTTTGAAAATGTTATCTACGGACAGCGTTTTCAAAGTAATTTGCACTGTTAAAATTTAATCCAAAACGTTAACGCTAATCTCTAACGTTATTCCCAAACAGGCCCTATATATGGTTGCGGTCTAGCATTTAATATTAGATCAATACATATAGGAAACCTCCAATTTTAAAGAGCCATTTATAGAATTATTCTCTACTTTTTATACTCCCTCCGTCCCAAAATATTTGTCACACTTGCTTTTTAAGCAGTCGCGGGAACTATTGTTTATTTCTACGTTTTCATTAGTTATTTGATAAAATAAAATATTCTTGACACCTCTTATTTCGAAGAACTTTTCATGTAGTTTTTTGATATGTAAATTTTATTTTTTATTTCTATACCACTATGTAAATAAAATGAATTGAAAAACTTGATATTTTATCTCGGGAATACAAGTGTGACAAATATTTAAGGACGAAGGGAGTTAATTTATTGTAAAAATGTGACCCAAAAGGTCAAACTAGACGACTGCGTGCTATAGATGCAAAGTAGTACTCCCTCCGTCCCAGAAAGAATTTCTTGTTTTGATTAACGTGCAAAACCCTGTAGATTTTAAAATGATTTTATTTGAAAATTGGTAAGGAAATAACACATAAAGAAATTATATTTAAAAACTACATCGAAAACTCTACAAAATAAGAGGCGACAAGAATATTTTATTTTATCAAATGATCAATGAAAACACGCAAACAAATTGGAGTTATCGTGAGACAGTAATAGTAAACATGAAATACTTTTTGGGACGGAGGAGGGAGTATTAATTACTCCCTATGATGGTTAGATTAGAAGAATGAAAATTTATTGAACTTCAAAATTTTGTTCGGTTTAAACTTTTTTATATGTGTAATTTTATATATATATGGTTTTTGTTTTTTGAAATTGAGGATCCTTTATATTTAGTTCTCTATTATCATCATATATATTACATTGGTCATGATTTCATGTGGGTCATTTCCATTTTCTAAAAAGTTCAATTCATTCAGGTTGGCCCACTTGACTTTTCAAAAAGTTATTTGATTGTAGCCTTTAGTGTTTTAAGAATTAATCTACACTATCTGCGTTCCGTTTGCCTGATTTGATCTAATCTGATTTGATTGAAGTTATAAATAAAGTTGTTTCTGATTTGATCTGGTCTCATCTGATTATAATAAGAATACGTAATAAGCAAAAAAAATAGATTAAACAGAACGCTGCCTAAATTTTTATCCAACATGCTAACGCTAATTGAAAATGTTATTCACAAACAAGATCATTGTTTATATATACTAAAATGAGTAAATTCCATAAAAGGTCCCCAGTTATAGGTCGTTTTACATATTTAGTTCCTACATATCAAATATTACTAATTTAGTTCCCAATTATTATATTCATTTACACGAATGATCCTTTGTTAACATTTCTGTTAAGAATGTGGATAAAATTGTAAATTCACACTTCTTTCTCTCCTCAATTAAGCTTCCTCCCTCTCCCCACACTTCTTTCCCAAATCCGTCGCTGAGTTTGAAGCTTTGAACCCAAAATCGAAATCATCTTTTCTCAAATTAGTAATATTTGATATGTAAGGACTAAATATGTAAAACGATCTATAACTGAGGATCTTTTATATAATTTACTCTAGGTAAAAATTTGCCTTTTCCAAAGTCGGTAAGAATTTAATTAAAATAGTTTGGTGGGAGGGAAGGAGTGAGGGAATATTTTGGGGATAATAAGAACTCGATCGTGGTTTACTTAATTTGGAGATCTAAAAATAATACTACTCCGTAATAATCATCTACTCTTTCTTTCTTTTCTTGTGCTTGCCCTTTCTTTCTCTCCACTTCCCTGTGAAGTAACTAATAAACACAAGCCGCCTTTCTGCGGTCTTATTGGCCTCTACCTTCCATCTTCTCTGGAATTAAACTACTGTATATAAACGGAGTACTCATCGATCCCTATATTAATTGCTTTTTGGTAGATAATCCGGAAATCAAGCTAGCTAGCAAGCTCCATCTGCTCTCAAAGGTTGGTTAATTATTAGTTTAATTAGAATTCTTTTTTTTTTTTCTTAAATCCCTTATTTTCTAGCTATAATAATAAAAATTAGGCGGAGTGTAGAGGGATCAGATCAGATCCGGAAATGGCACAACTGCTCCTCCATGGAACGCTTCATGTCTCTGTGTACGAGGTTGACAGGCTCAAGTCGGATCTCCTCCACAACTTTTTTCACAAGGTACTTATTTACGCACACTCTTTTTCTTCTTAATTATTGATAATAAACTTTTTTTTTTAAAGATGATGATCTTGTTGTCATTTACTTATATATAGGTCATTGATTACAAACTTTAAGTAATTCTTCATAATTTTTTTTATACTAAATACACAAAGTGGAGAACAACTTCATATTCTAAAAACTAATTTCTGTATAGTTTTGGTTTTCTTTGAATTCGCAATAATTTCCGTATTTGACTTTGGGAAATTGTAAAGTCACACCAACAAAAATGACACCCATTTGTGACGCCAGTAGTTTTGGTGTACCTACAATGCTCCGTTCGTAAAATTAATGGTTTAATAATTTCACTTCATCCCACTCTAGCCCTCCTCGATAAATTGCTATTGGAAAGTTTGGGGGTAGGAACTAATGCCTACAGAGTATTAATTTTGTGAACGGAGTACACCAAAAGCAATGGTGTTACAATGTTACAAGTGGGGTAATATTAGAGGCTCTCTTTAACTAAAGTATGTAAATGCTATCTGATGAGTTAATGACAAATCATGGGTGGCCCGGAGGGTGTGCAAAGTTGGTCAACCGCACAGGGCCCTTAAACTTTTATGACACTATATTTTAAAATTTGTTAACAATTTTAAAAGAAAAAGTATTCTGAAAAAAATAAAATAGGGCCCAAAATATAAATTTAAGACCAGGTCAATTTTATTTTTTTCATTTTTCGGGGCCGGCCTAGTGACAGATATTTAGCTTATTATTTTCAAAATAAATGTACAAACGCAAATTGAAAAACTTATTGCTAATAAACAATGTCTTCAATTCTTCCCCTCATTCGTTCACCATTGAACAAAGCAGCCAATCCATAAATTTTTTCCGACAATAAATACACATTGTCTTTACTACTCCGTATGTGTTCATCTTTTTTCCGTGTGTGTTTTTTGTACCGCAAATGCATGTCGGCAGTTCATATTTATAGTCAAAATAACATTAGAGAACAATTAAAAACGAACCTCCAAAAAAGATAGGACAATTAATGATATTGCTATCTTCTCCCCTGGCGTAGCAAGCCCACTCCCCAGGATTCATGGGGAAGTTCACCTAGGTTCGAGCCCCAGTGAAGGCAGCAGCATTGGCTCTTTGTGCGTCATTAGCTTGAGAATAGTATGAACAGATACTACCTTGTAATAGAGTCAATAGCATTCAAAAAAATTAATGATATTGCTCTCCCGATTCTTCAAATAAATTTTTAGATATATTTTCTCTGTCATATGTTAATTTTTTTATTTTTTTCGTTGGGTTATTCTAAAATAGATTTTTCATTCCCTAAAAGAAATGAAATAAGTGCATATTTGGTGTGTTTGGTTGGGAGGAAAATATTTTCCCAAGAAAATTTTGATTCTATTTTCCTGTGTTTGGTGACATTAGTAGAAAAAAAATATTTTTGAAGTGAAAATATTTTCCTTCAATGGGGGGAAACAATTTACATTAAAAAGGCGAAGGAAAATTTTCACTCTTTCCCCTTCATCCCCCAACCTCTATCCACCCCATATACCTCTTTTCACCTTTCAGTTTTAATTTTAAAATTTAAACTTTAAAATTTAAATTTTAAATTTAAGTTTATAATTTAAAATAAAAATTTTAAAATTAAAAATATAAAATATAAAATTTCAAATTTCAAATTTTAAAATTTAAATTTTGAACTCTAAATTTTAAATTTTACATTTTAAATTTTAAATTTTCGGTCAAAATTATATTTTTTTCTTGAAAATTTTTCATTCCTTTGCTAAAATAAAATTGCAAGAAACTCATTATTTTGTTGAATTTTTTATATAACTTTTTTCCAAATTTATAAATTTTACTCCTTAGTTTATAACTTAGATCAGTTTTGAATTAAATCAAATTGACAACAATTTCATTTTAACATCCTATATAAATTAAAGTGATGTTTAATGTGTCACAAAAATTTTATGAATTGGTAATAACTTTAGTCAAACATCTTGACCTCCAAAATTTTAAATACTCCCTCCGTCCCGGAGTATTCGTCCGGTTTTAACTTTTGGAACTGTTCATCTAAGCACTTTGACTCATCAAATTCTCTCAATGTGTAAGCTTAAATATAGTCATGTGTGATCTTGTTTGATTTGTCTTAACATATAGATGATTAATATATAATTTTTATAATTTTTTAATATACAAATTACAAGATAGAATGGATTAAAGAAGTGTATTGGATGGTGTGTAAAAATGAAAGTGGACAAATACTCTGGGACAGAGATAGTATATTTTTCCGTAATTTATTACTCCCTCCGTCCTAAAACTTTCTTCTCAGTTTGACTTTTCTCCATTTTTAATTTTTGGCTTTGACTTCAAATTTTACCCTCTTTAAGAAAGATTTTTTGAATTTTTTTTTGCAATCATTCAAAATATAGAGTTAGAAGATAATTGGTGTAAATATATGAGGATATTAGTGTCATTTGTCATCTTTTTTTTCTAATGAGAAGGTAGTTTTAGGACGGAGAAAAAAGGGAAATGGGAACCGTCAATTTTACGAACGGAGCACCGGAGGTGCCCCAAAAACCCAGTGGCACCGCTAGTGGCACCATTTTACAGTGTCACTAGAACCCCACCGTATTCTCAAAAAGATTATCACTACGTATAATTCTGTATTTTAAGTTAAACTGTGAAACACTTTGACTACAAGTTAAATATAATTTTAAATAATTAAAAATTCTAAAAATTTGATATATCAGAACTTTATTTTAAAACGAACTAATTTTACTAAACCTACATTATAATTAAATAATTTTTTTCACAATGTCCAATCAAAGTATTGTATACTTTGACAAAAAAGTTAAACTTCGAAAATCATTTTACGACAAAGAGAATAATAATTCGTAACTCCCACTTTGCAGACCGCTATAGTCCTTGTTTGGAAACAACGTTTTCGATTAACGTTAGCGTTTTAGATAAAATTTTAATGATCTAGATTAATTCTAAAAACACTGACGCTAAAGTTTAGCATCGCAGAGCCTTTTCAAAACGTTAATGACTAACGTTGATACCAAACAAGGCCGTAACAAATGTTAAACCATAGCGAGTTCTTTGCACGTTGAATTATGTCTGGACTCTGTAGGACGACATTACTGTTTTCTAAAAGAAAGACACGACTCTATGTCGCAAAAAGAAAAAGAAAAGAAAAGAAAAGAGGCAATTAATTAATTTACAAGTGTACCAATAGTTGATGTTCCGGACCGGGGGATATAGAGGGAAGGCGTGGCCTCTTGCCTTTGGTGGGGGGGACTATTCCACCCGTTAGGTTGTCGTTTGACAAATTTTTTTACCCATCACGAATCAGCAGTTTCCAAATCAGCATAAAAGGCAAATACGGAGTATTAAATATGTAGGTAGTTAAGACTCTATTTCACATTTTTAAATACTCAGTGATTCATAAATTTTGTAAAATTAGTCAAATGTTTCAAGGCCCCGTTTGGTACACAGAATTCAAACTATAGAATTAAAATTCAATTTCAATTTTGGTGTTTGGTAGCTCAAAAATTATGTGGATTTGGAATTGGTAGTGCAAAAAATGAATTGGAATTGATGAATTCAATTCTATGGAATTGAATTCCATGAAATTTCAATTCCAATTCAATTCCAATTCCATCAATTCCGTATACCAAACGGACCCTAAGTCTACTTTTGATACCATCTGATTTTTTGAATATCTGATTTGAATGTAGTTATTTTTAAATAATTTTTTATCTGATCTAGTCTGATCAGATTTTAATAGGAATAAGTAATAAACTAAAAAAAATAAGACTTTATATCTAGATAGTTTTTATGGTGTTCTCTGTGTCACATGCCTATATTCTATTATCTGTGTTTGTTTAAATTTAAAAAATTTAGTAGATTGTTCTAACATTAAATTCCAAAATCAACAACTCTGTTAGTAAATGTTGGAATTAGAAAAGGAAGAACACTGCGAAGCAGGGTTGAACGAAGAACTCGATAGAATAACGAATCGCGTACGAAACGCTTTCAGATCAAAGTTATTTCAGGGTATACGAAATACTTCAATCGGATAAGACGTTAATTCAGAACAAGCACTCGAGAATCTGTTCCTCAACCCATACCACGAGACTCTATTTTATAGAGTCGAAAATCCTTGTGATCGGACATGAACGTTCGTGTAGATGTACGCGTACGTTCGCGCAAGAAGAAGAAAGGTGCGAGTTTGAACGAAAGGTCTCCTGCGGTTGAAGGCTTAATTTCGACGTTTATCCATTATGTAAGAGTCCTTTACCGTTTTGGACTCCGATCACGAAAATCTTAAGGATTTTCTTAAAGAAACCCCGGACCCCCGCAGTGAATTTATAATATCGTTGAACGAGCGCGCACTCCGCGCCTCCTAACTCGTTTGACAACGTCTATTTAAATTCTTGTTCGATCAAAGTAAATCCAATTACACAATAAATTGATGACACTAAAATCACCAACAATCCTCCCCTATTTTAGTGTAATCCATAACTTACTTTCTGAGATAATAGATTCAACAAACTTATGCATAAATGAAAATGTCGCGACGATTGAATTTTCATCTTAGTATATTACACATTCCAAATATTCGAATTTCGGGGTGTCTCTAAGGATTGAACCCTTGCAATTCATATGAATACATGAAGATAATATACACATAAGCTCTAAGTACTTCTTTGTTCCAAGCTTGACACCGTATTTTACTAGCCTTGTGTCCCTATCCTTCAACGAGCACATAAAAGTCAAGTCCAAACTTTGTGAAGCGGCTAAACTTCATACTCGTATAGGTAGTTCTTTTATGTCTTGTACCTGCACATACAATTTTTCAAAAGAACTATTAAGAAGATTAACTTCAACCTCTTTAACTTGCAGTTTTGAACACATACCTTTGGATGATGTTGTGTTCCAATCTCTTGATGTTAAGCTTTCCACATTGAATTCTACACCTAACGTCATATTAGGTGGGAATTGGGTATCTTAACACGAGAGATATCAAATGGACTTTAATCCCATCCCTTTAGCCGATTTT